GGAGGGAGCGCGAGAGAGAGAGAGAGCGAGAGACAGGGGCGAGGTGCAGAGGGAGAGAGAGAGGGAGGTGAGGGAAGGGAAGGGGAAGGAGAGGAGGGCCTTTCTATAACATGTCAGACTCAACCTCATTACACTACATATTGTCCGTTGGTACGTATACTGACGTACGGAATATCAGACAGCCACACGGTCAACCAGAGCTCCCGGACCCACAGCCTCTTCAACCTGCAACCGCTATAAAGCCTAAATGCGAAATCTTCCCCGCGGCCCGGGCCTATCACATTGTCCTTGCCACTGGTGGACACACTGGCGCCGGTGCCGCTGAGCTTTTGCCGCAGCAGCTCGAATGCCGGACCCTCCAGCAGCTGTGTTTCAGGCTTGGGGGTTGGCAGGGCTTCTTGACTTTAAGGGATCCACGTAGGGTTTAGGGTTTAGCGTTGCAAATATGAAGTTCCTGCAGAACTTTGCAGTTGACGGCCGGTGAAGGCTTGCATTGGCATTCCTTGCCAGAACTGAGTCAAGCACCGAGCTGGGCAAAGCCAGCTCTATTCTCTGCACGTCGGGAACCGCCTGCAGAAGCTCGCAAAGGCAGTCTTGAAAGAATGGCAGGGAAGCGGTCCTCCACGCGCTTTTCGCATGGTGGTGGCTGCCAGAGAGGGCCATTCTCGTAGATCTGGAAAGGCCTTGAAGTTACAGTACCCCACGCCCTGTCAGTGTCACAAGTGCATCCGGCAGCCGAGCGCGGAGCTCTGCTCGCCAGTAGATCTCATTGTCTCCCTGTGAGAAGGAGAAAGTCCGCCAACCTCAAGGACCCCATAAAATGAAGGGAATAAGGGTGGTTCGGGGCCTTACAGCAGGGTTTCGACTCTCACACTCACACCAGGCAGGCAAGGCTCCACACAATTCCGTCACGCTAGGGAAGCCCGAGCACTTACCGCATCAAACCAGGACCATCTAAACCATGACCAACCTGGGTCCCGGCTCAGGGCTTCAGTTGCCAATGAAGCCGTTGCTTCACTCGACTCCTTTAAACTACGCAAGCCATAAGCCATCGCAAGCCCATCGATCGCATTGTCGTCGGCGTTGCCGGGCTCTGTTACACGAAAATCAATCTATGTCACTGTACTGTGCTTGAATCCTTAAATGCCTAGGGTGCGCTTCATGCCCAGCCTAGGACAACGTCTGCCTTCATTTCTCTCTGGAACTTACGCAAGTGAAGCTTTTGAATAGACATGCATGAAGCACAAAGGCTAACAGGAGCTTCTTGTGAAGCGCGAATGCTGGGCAGGTGCCAGCAGTGTGGTGCTGTGCGAGATTCTCGCAAGTGCTGACGACTCTGCTGTATCTCGCACGGCACAAAGTCAGAACTATGTCCCGGGAAGATGCTGAATGCTTCCATGGAGTATCCTTCCCCCGCGTCAGAACATCCGTTAGCTGTGCCTAGCTTGCGGTGTACGTGCACAAGCTGAGTCTGGCTGGCGGCACGGGACATCCAGCAGGGACAGCAAGATACAATGAAATCACAGCTCGATAGAGGCTGTTACTTCCACCAATTGGTCTCGACCGGTGGCTCCGAACACGCGACAAATTGCATCATCAGCATCAGGTAGCTCGAGGATGCACTTGCTCTCGGTAAAATGGGAACTTGCGATGCGCATCTCCTCGTTTGAAACTGAGAACCCAAACCGGCATGGCAAACAGCCCTGGTCTTTGGGCTGGGTGTCGCATTTCAGCTGGAAGAAGCCTTTTCC